AGAGCAGTTTGACACGTACGCCGCAATCATCAACGCCATGGAAGAGGAGGTAAATTGTACGGCACTGTACGACTACGTATAGCATTTTTACCGCGTCGCACACGTATATATATCCTGGGGATATGCATGCACCGTTAAACCCAAGATACGCAGGGCCCCCTTCCCCCTTCCCCCTTTCCCCCCCCCGGGGGTCTTCTTACATATCATCCTGCCCTAGAAAAACCCTAAAACCCTAAAACTCTCCACTAAAACCTGCGCGCTAAACCCTAAAACCCTAAAAAAAACCGCAGGAGCGGTCCAACCCCGAGGTGATCATCAAGAGTCTGGCCCGGCGGCGGCGTGTCGCTCAGGACTCCGGTCACAGCGAGGCGGAGGTGGCGAAGCTGATGACGGCGTACACCGCGGTGTGTGCCACCGGGGGGGTGGGGGTGGGGGTGTCCGGGGGGGGAGTGGGGGGGGAGTGTCGGGGGGTGTCGGCGGGGCGGGGCAAGGGGAAGAGGGTTGGAGGAGAAAGGGGGACTGTACTCGGCCTGGCCTTGGGGGGTATTCGGTATGAATTATTAGGTACGAGTGAGATATTACGAAGCGAGGGAGGGACCTTGTTGTCTTTGCCGGGTACCTGGGGCCCCCCCGATGAGGGGGTGTTCTCGGAATGCATTCTGCGAGGATGTGCGGCACACTGGGGTGGAGTCGAGCTGACCACCACACACAAACATCACCCGGTGCACCAACAGGGTTTTCTTTTCTTTTCCACTTCCCCCCATCATCCTTACTCCCCCCCGCGCTTTTGCCCCTGGGGGGTCGTAATTTAGCAGTCCGGTTTTCACCTCCCCGCTCACCCCCGAAACACACACGCACACATACACACATACACACATACACACATACACACACATACCCCTTCAGATGAGGACCCAGGTCGGCGGCATGAGCAAGTTGTTGAAGTTACAAAAGTCGGGGGGGGACCCCTCGCAGGCGGAGAAGCTGCTCAAGGTGGGCTGAGGGGGGGGGGGAAAGGGGGGGGGAGGGGCCGTGGGATGTGTTTTGTGGGGGGAAGAGGTTTGGGTATCTTCCTTGGCGAGGTGTCGTACGCCGTTAAGGAAAGGTGAAGGAGGGGAAGAGGGTGAAGGGGGAGATCATGATGATGTACGGTGCGTGGAGAGCTGCCTGTTGTACTCGCTGTGGGAAAGGACAAGCGATGTGTTTTTCCATCCCTCCTTCAGCCGCTTAGTCGCTAAATCAACATCCTACCCCCCCCCGTTCGTCCCCCCAACACACACACACTCACACTCACACACGCACACATAGACATAAACATACACACGCGCTGCGCCCCGCACCGACCGCATAAAATTCCCGCGTGCGGTATGTCCCGTAGGAGCTGGTGGCCAGTGCAGGGAAGAAGGTGGCGCCCGGGAAGGTACGGCATAGCGTACGGCATATTTTGGGCCCGACGACGCAAATCACAAATATGTGATGTACTGGAGCGAATGTGTGATCTGTTTATACACATGTGTTCCATGTGTGTGCGCGTGTGCGCGCGTGTGTGTTTGTGTGTGTGCAGGGCTGGCGTTCCCTTTCCCCTCCCTTTGGTGGAGCACTCTCCCCCTCCTCCCCCTCCACCCCCTCCTTCTCATTTCCCCGTGTCTCCACAGTCCCTGCTCTCTCTCTCTGTTCCCAGCCCAATATTCATCCCCAATAGTGCGCTCCCCATCCCCACTCTCCATCCCCACTCTCTACCTCCGGCCTCAGCCGCCTGGTGACCCAGCGGGGTCGTTTATCTCAACCCCCCGCACCCCTCACCCGCCTCCCGGCCCCCTTGGGCCCCGTTCGCAGGTCCGGCGGAAGAAGGAGAAGGAGCCCATCAGCAAGGCGCGGGGATTCGGGTCGCCCTCCAAGTAAAGCGGACTGGCACCCGTTGGGGGGGGGTGGCGGCAGCAGCGGCAGCGGCTCCTGGTGGCGGAGGAGGAGGGGTTGTACGGGCGGCGTGGGGCGGCTCCTCCAGCAACAGGACGCAGGGACTGCCGGCAGTCCCAGACACCCACAACCACCGCAACCACCCCAACCACCGCAACCACCACCACCACAACCGCGCAGCTTCAACCATGACCTGAGTCCCCCAGGTTCAAGCCCAGCCGCGTACACATATACTCTCTCACGCCTGTCGTGTCAGCGGCTGTGTGACGGCGGTGGTTTGTTGGATGACTGGAACCTGTGGAGGAGGTGAATGGGGGGAAGGAATTGGGGGGAGGCGGGGGTTCTGATT